AAGGTACAACTAATGTACAGTTAAAAAAACCTTATGGTATAAAATTGGTAATTAGGTATACTAAATATAATTATATCAAATCTTAAACATTGAGGGTAATATAGTTTTCTATATGGCATAGGAATATAAAGATTCCATTAAATTAAGGACTTGTTAAATAATTTTAATTCTAATTTGGAGAATATTTTTGGGCCTTACGCCCCAAAGCAAAAACTCACCCAACGCTGATGCATATGCCTAGAGCAATGGGGCCTATGCCTCGCGAGACTTTTTGGTAAAAAAATGTTCTTGACACGTGGACATATCAATGATCAACACGTGACAAATACTGCCTAGTCATCTCCAGGTCAAAGTGAAAGATCAACTAAGAAAGTAAACCACAAATTCTCTAAATTGGGATCAAATGGTGTTGATCCAAAAGTAACCACCCCGAGTCTCCAAAAAATGATTGAGTGTCCGAAAAATCCGTGAATGTCCGAATAAGGTATCTCCGGATAAACAATCAAGGCAAATCCTAAATCAAAACCGAAATCCGAATTTTTTGGATTTTTGGTTTGGATTTTTGGATTACGGATTGAATTTTGGACTTAATTTTTAAATTTTTTGGATTTCGAATTGGATATTGGATTTGGTACTTCGGATTTTTGGATATCTGAAGATCCAATTTTTTTATATTTTATATATACTCTATTATCCATATGCCAATAGTAATAAGTTCAGTACCCTACCTATTAGATATTATCTCATATATTCAATATTAATTACTAAGTTATTGCCAGAATATTTTGTATTTGAACATGATTTTACTGTTGCTATTTCTTATCGGTCGTATTAATGTCTCTGTTGTATTTTTTTTATATTAATTTCATTACTTGAATACTTTATTTAGATAATTGTGGCAAGAATGAGGAACTTTCAGTAATTTAATATGAATACTTCATTTGTATATTCATTTTTGTAAAAAGTAGAAACATCTCAACTTATACGCTCAAAACCGAAAATTCATAATATCCAAACCGATTAACCTGAAACCGAACTTACAAAATCCGATCCAATCCGAACTTATTTGAATTGGATTTGGGTTGTCATTTCTTCAATCCGAAAAACGAAAATCCAAACCGAAATTCTCATATACAATCCGAACTGCCCGAGCGCCCACCCCTAAACAGACCAGCAACTTTTGACAAAACCGAGCATCAACACTAATTCAGCAGTTACGGAATCCAACATTAACTCAGTAGTTACAAATCATTCAAATGTAATGGACGGGTCTAAATAAATGCTCATAGTAGATCAATTATTCGGGGGAGATAGTCAGATAGCTACTTAGAATTAGTACAATGAATAATTACACTTTACTATCATTGTAATCATCTAATTTATACTCCACAATTCTGCACATTATAATTCATAGCAACCTGCTCCGCACAAGGCTTGCTTGATTGGTACTACTGGCTTGTGCATCTAAAGGGTGGGACTAACAAAAGAATATTTAATTATTGCAACTCAGTGAGTTGCTCTGAATCAAAAATCAATGTTTGTTACTGCAAAATTTTGAGACCTTTAATCAGACTAAGATAAATACTAGCCTTAGTTTTTCGATCTTTTACCTTCATACACTGAACATTTATCGAATCTAGAATCTTGAAAGTTTAGTTTCTTTTTTCAATCAACTGGCATTAGCCCAAGCGATGCCCAATCCTGTACTTTCCCTTGGTCAAGAACCAGCCAAAGTTCTCTATACTTCTTCACTACTCGTAAAAGTTGAACGGAGTTGACTGTGCATAAATAAGCATAGTTGGCCTTCAATGTGAGCTGATGTTTTCATGCAAATCACATTGATGTGTTCAACTTTGTGAAAACTCAAATATACAAGCCATTTTTTAGGATAAATATACAAGCCATTGCAATAGCTTTGTTCAAATTAGCAGCTCAACTTCTTGAAGATAAAATAGGTAGGAAGTTTACAACATATGTACACTTCGGATTGCATCTACTCTATGACAATTTCTGATAAACCTCCTCCAAAACTTGCTCCAAGGTGTTTTTTCTTGGCACAACATTCTTTTCTGAAGCTGTCACAGCATCCACCGATGTGTCTCTTCTCCAACAGCGAACAAACCTTACGACCACTGCAGTCTAGGTAATGATGATGGTTGTCCCGTAAGATATTGATGGTTGATCGAACGGTTGGACCACATTCTGCAGCATGCTTCCTGCAGCCAGAACGGACGTCGTGGCATGGTTTGTATTTGCAGCATCTTCTAACCAGCTTGGCTAGTTCTTCATCAGTTGGAGTAGTTTTAGAGTGAAGTCCACAGTGATTTACCTGATCTTTTGGTTCATGTTTGCAGCTGCTGGAGATGACCATGCTCTGCTTTGTGCTGTCACAATGAGCAGTTTCTTGAATTTCACTTTTTGATACGTCGTCAATGCCATGGACTTGAACTGAAAAACAACAATCATCTGTTGCACAACTGTCATATGCCTTTTCTGGATGTGAGTGATCGTGTTCCTTGTCCGAACAGCCATGACCGACAGCATGAGGTGATTTTATACCTTCTCCAACAACATCCAAGATTTTCTGCTCCAAGTTGTTCTCCTCGTGGAGTGGATTATCATGCGAATGACAACCATGGATGCTTAGAGAGTCCAGGATCTTATCATTTCCGCATGTCATCGATCCTGAAAATCTCAGCCCTAATTAACAAGTAGTTTTTTATAGTTAACGATACATAGCAATCAGTTAAACTTCTATCTCAAACTAGTTGGTGAGTAACATTATCCATCATTTTTTTAGAGATTTGCGATGCATATGCTATCTTCTTATGAAGTTTGATCGAACATTTATTGTAGGAGTGAAGGTGGAGGAACACTTTGGATCATATGATTTGGTAGTGCCTACCTGAACTTGCAGTTTGGCATGTTTGATTGGTGCTGTCACAATGAGCAGTTTCCTGGATTCCAGTTTCTGATACATCAGTTTTATTGCCTTGAACCGAATAACAACATTCTTGTAAGGCACAACTGTCATATGCCTTGTCTAAATTTGTATGATCATGTTCCTCGTCAGAGCAGCCATGACGAAGATCATGACTTGATTCCTTATCTTTTCGGACTAAATCCAAGCTTTTCTGCTCCGAAAGCTTTTCCCCACTGAGTGGATTAGTAAGTGGTGAATGAAAACTGTTCTCGGTTGCAGAGTCCTGGCACTTCTTATTTCTGCATGACCTTGAACCTGAAAATCTCAAACCTACTCAGCAAATGATTCTCATAGCCTCTCCATACACCTCAAGAAAAACTTTATTTGTTTCAAATCATGAATAAAAAATTGGCTGCTCTCCTCTAATGCAGTATGAAGAAGGGTCTGTGACAGCCTATATTCTCAAAGTTGTATATGATCTAAGAATTTTGTCACGATGCTAGAGATTTGCAATTCATAGACTACATGATTTCAGGTTTAACTAACCATTATATCCTCCGACAGAGGGCCAAATAATACTTTAGATCCTATAGTTTGGTTCGGGGGGTATTAACAAGAAGAGGAATCTGGTCGTACCTGAATTAGCAGTTTTGCATGATGGACCAGACATCTTTGAAGAGCATGATTCAGAGTTGGTTTGTGAATAACAAGAATTCTTGCTATTGGTGTCCGAGCACTTTGTATTTCCACATGTCCTGGAGCTTGAAGTTGCAGATTGGCTTTGTGGAGCACACAACTTAGACATGCATGTTTGATGATCGGGATGTGAAGGATGGCTACTATTGTCTTTTGAGTCTGAACACTTGCTATTTCCACATGATTTAGACCCAGAAACTGCAGATTGACATCCTGGAGCAGACTTCTTGGTAGAGCACGTTTGAGGAATTTTGTCGGATTGACAACATTTTTTGTCACTGAAGTCGGAGCACTTGGTACTTCCACATGATTTGTTGCTTGAAGTAGCAGAATGACATTGTGGAGCAGACATCTTGGAAGAACATACTAGAGAGTTAGTTAAAGAATGACAATTACTCTTGTGAATGGAGTCTGAGCAATTGTTATTTCCACATGACTTTGATTCTGAAAGTGCAGATTGGCCTGCTTTAGCAGCCATCTTCGATGAACAGCATTGAGGACGGGGATGAGAATGAAAACCACTATTTTCAACGGAGTCTGGGCACTGATTATTTCCACATGACTTTGATTCTGAAAGTGCAGATTGGCCTGCTTTAGCAGCCATCTTCGATGAACAGCATTGAGGACGGGGATGAGAATGAAAACCACTATTTTCAACGGAGTCTGGGCACTGATTATTTCCACATGACTTTGATTCTGAAACTGCAGATTGGCACGCTTTAGCAGCCATCTTCGACGAGCAGCATTCAGGACGGGGATGAGAATGAAAACCACTATTTTCAACGGAGTCTGGGCACTGATTATTTCCGCATGACTTTGATTCTGAAACTGCAGATTGGCATGCTTTAGCAGCCATCTTCGACGAGCAGCATTGAGGACGGCGATGAGAATGAAAACCACTATTTTCAATGGAGTCTGGGCACTGATTATTTCCACATGACTTTGATCCTGAGGAGACAGGTTGACATCTTGGAACACACACCTCGGACGAGCATGATTGACTTGTACATTTCTTTTGTGACTCAATATCAGAGCAACACAGCTGGGGAGCATTTTCCGACTTGCAACATGAAGCTTTGTCTTTGTGGTGGGGAGCATGCGAAGGAGTAGAAGATCTCCAACATTTTTTCCCATGTCTGCGTGTGCCTCCTCGTAGAAGTAGCATGCTGTTCAAAATCACTAGCAAGCATGTCCCAGTATCTGCGAGGACAGCAGCCCAAACCAATGGATAACCTGCTATTGCCAATGCAACTATGGCAGCCTTTGTAACGACTGATATAATCATATTCTCAACAATCTTCCTTCGAACTCTTCTAGCAAGACGTGCAGCTTTCGGTATTCTTCCGATGTCATTTGTCATTAGTATAACATGGCCTGTTTCTTTAGCGAGAGCTGACCCAGAGATGCCCATTGAGATGCCAATGTCAGCTGTTGCTAATGCAGGAGCATCATTAAGGCCGTCGCCTATCATCGCTGTTGGAGCTTCCTTCTGAAAACCCTTGATGATTGTTGCCTTGTCCTCTGGTAGGAGTTCTGCTTGAAATTCATCCAAAGCTCCACCTAACTGCATAATTGTTTCGACTTACAATCAGAGGTGGATCTATGATTTTGAGTTTATGGGTTCTGGATTCTAAAAAATATGGCTCACTGCTCTGGATAAATTATTTAAATACATATGAAGTGAATTTTTTAACACAAATACAATGTTTGAGACCTCTAAGCACAACACTAGTTCCGCCCCTGGGTACAATACAAGAATAGATACTTGAAATTCAGATTCAGCTTAAATCATCATGCTAATCTTGACTCTTTATGCTAAACATAGCGTGTCATGTACGTCTGATGTAGGTTTCATATGTGAAGAATTGTACGTCGTACGTCCGAAAATCGTCCAATTATTGGAGAACAATAGCATATCTTATATTAGTTGTGATAATAACTTGGTTTATCCAGATCAACATTTAACCTTCATCTTCACATCACACTGTCTTAAGTATTTTATATGACCCTGTAAAGATAAAGCACTTACTTGGTAATACGTTCTCTAAATTTAGATGAAATGTTTAACCAATGTTGATGATAGAAGAAGGAAACAATAAGAGTTCAGTGAAAATTCTTAAGACTAAACAATAATCCAAAGGGTTTTATAATCATTTCAGCGTAATGCAGAATTATTAATATACCTGATCCTGCACATGGTTGGCAGCTGCATAACAATCACCAGTAAGCATCGCGGTTTTGATACCCATCTGCTTCAGTTCTCTCATTGCTTCTTTTACACCAATTCGACAAACATCGGAAAGACTGAAAATTCCAGCTGGAGATGATCCCAAAAATATGTATCCAACAGACTTTCCTTTGAAACTATCACCCTCTATTTCTGGTACTGAAATTCAAACATCCACCGCATTAGTGCTAAACAGGTCAAAGAAAATCTAACAGCAAAATTAACTGGAGAAATCATATACTTATAATTATAACTCTGATGTTTTATCTCTACTATGAGCATAAGAAATGATTCAACCATTTACCTGTGGTACATCCAGCTCTTGAAGAAATTTTCCTATTCCCGACATAGATTTCCATTCCATCAATTCTTCCAAATATCCCTTCACCAGGAAAATTTTGAAACTGCTCAACTCTATCAGGCTTTGGCTCAACGGAATTTGATTGTGCATAGTCCACCAGAGCGGCTGCCATCGGATGACCTGACTTGCTCTCAATGCTTGAAACCCTGAAAATATTCACTAGACAATTCAGTATTTACTCTAAACGAATGTTTTAGACCACCGAACAAGGCTTCTATTCAGTGTGCCATGTGCTTTTGTATTGCAGTATCAAGAATATTTGAAGAATTTTAGATTATAATACATTGATTATGTTTCTAAAATTTATATGACCAAGTACTTTTATGTGTCCTCAATGTATAAGATCCAACTATTCCATCTAAGTTCCTGAATATCAGACGGCTGACGTTGTGTCTATATGTTATTTTGGCTCTATGGTGAACCATTAGAGCCATTTCAGAAACTTCAATATGAGAATGTGAATGTGGCACTCCCTATTTCATCTTTTATGAATATATGATATAAATCAATCATGTTATATCACTATCAATGTGCCGTGAAAGATAATCAGTTAAGATTTTGAATTCTCTTTGGCAACATAAAAGAATATGTATGAGTGGTAACCTTTACCAGTAAAGCAGTGTATTGAGACTAAAACCATCAATCAGAGACTTGAACTCGGTCACCATAAATTCTCCTTTAGTTATAGTCCCTGTTTTGTCAAAAGCCATGATTTTGATTTTAGCTAGAGTCTCAAGGTACTCTGCTCCTTTAAACAGAAGACCGGACGTTGCTGCTTTTGAAAGTGCGCAACACATGGCAACTGGTGTAGATAGAACAAGTGCACACGGACATGCACTCACCAATGTGACCAAAGCCAAGCGATACCATTCATTTCGATTGTGAACTCTTAATGCAGTAGGAACAATTGCCAAAGAAGCTGATATAGCCACAATTGCTGCAAAACATCACCAGTCGAAATCAGACATACACAAAGAGCAGGAAAGTATTAGAAATAAAAAGTTTTAAACGAAAGAGCAATATAGTAGTGCGACGCCCATGACTGCAGGCAGGCTGAGAGGGCGGGTCAAGTGAAAGGACTGATAGACTTCTATGCTGGCAAGCTTCCGAAGAAGGGATTCATATGACACCTTAGGGAAATCTCATATCGAAAAGGGAGAGGATAGTGACGTGATTCATAAGACAAAGAACAAGTTCACACGGTACGTGCATTTTTTGACTTGATGTGGCACAACATAAGATTCACTAACCTGGTGTATAATATTTAGCACACTTGTCGATGTATCTTTGGGTTTTTGATTTCTTGTTCTGAGCATCTTCGACAAGCTGTGCCATCCTAGCCACCGCACAATCTTCAGCCAAAGCCGTAGTCTTAACACTGATATAGCCTGAAGAATTGAGCAAATAACATTAACAAACAATACTTGAAGTTTCAGCACTAAATAAATGAAGCATGAAGAAATACTATACTACCATTTAGATTTGTAGTGCCAGCCCAGACCGTTGAATCTCTTTGCTTAGAAACTGGAAACGACTCGCCTGTCAGTGTTTTCTCGTCCACGTCACATTCCCCTTCCACTACAACTCCATCAATAGGTATAGTTTCACCAGCTTTCACAGCAAGAATGCTATTCACCTTGACTTCATCAACATTTACGACTTCTCCGCTTTCAGCTAAAACTGCTGTTGGAGGGACTATATTGACCAGTGATGACATAGCAGCGGTAGCCTACATAACCATAAAGGTTTTCATTTATCAGAATGCTTTATCCATATACAATATCAGTGAGAAAATAAAGACACAGAGTTATGTTAGCAGACAAAACCTTCATTGGCCATCTCTATATTTTGGTAATTTTCAGTGTGCTATAAAGTTTGTAGTTAGGACCTACTATTTAGCATTGCTAAAAAAGTAAGAAAAGATAAGCATAGGCTTATGTCGTTTATGTCAAAGAGACTAAATTCCAATACCATATTTGTTAAGTAGTTAGTCATGTTTAGTGTCCCACATCGGGAAGTAGATACCTATTATTATGTAATTACTGTATATAAATAGGGTTGTACAATACTTTAATCAATATAATAATTTTCTCCCGTGCATTCTCACATGGTATCAGAGCAACCGTGAGAAATTTATCGTAGTGCATAAATTCCAGCGACTCCGGGAAAAGAAAACAGTCAACCGGAAGCCCTTTTCCGGCAAAAATAGGTCTGTCCGCAAGAATCATACTATCTGTCAGTGTTGTGCAAAAAGTAACACCACCGGGAAGTAGTTCAGAGCTCAGCGACCAACCTATTAAAAAATCTCTGGCAAAAAAGGCTACACGCGCCCTCACGCGCCGCCGGAAGAATTTTTCCGACGAAGTTCTGACGCCCACGCGCCGCACGTGAGGCAATTTCCGGCCAGAATTTGGTAAAATTCCTTCAGGGCAGTGTCTTCTCCTTGCAAATACGAGCATACCCATCCAATTTAAATCAAATTCAGATCACTTTTATATTTTTCCGGCGTGAATAGTAATTTCCAGAAATTTTTTGTTTTTTCGGCACAACATTATAATGACATTCGTATCAGAAGCCTTTAACTCACAATCTGTTGGATCCAATTCGTTGAATCCAATCCAGATGGTTTCTTTATCGGATTATACTGAGTTCCTTCAGTACAAAGCATGTAAACAGACATCTTCAGGGATAGCTTCCATTGTTCAAACAGATAGTAGCGTGACTTGTGTCTCCGAATCTTAAACCTTTGAGTCTTGGGTCATTGATTCAAATGCATCTGATCATATTTCTGGTAACAAATCTCTTTTCACCAGTATTCATATTCTCAATCTCTTCTAACAGTCACAATGGCCAATGAGTCTCAAACCATGGCAACTGCAATAGGTCAAGCAGGCCCACTTCCTTCCTTACCTTTAGATTCAGTCCTTTATGTTCCCAATAGTCCTTTTAATCTCATAGCCGTTAGTCGCTTAGCCAAATCACTTAAATGCGCTGTTTTATTTCTTGATGACCTTATTTTTATAGAGAAACATAGTACGGGGCGGATCATTGGTATCAGACATGAATTAGATGGATTTTATTACCTTATCCTTGCAAAATCATATGGACTCGCATCTTGTCTTCCTTTAATAACTTGTCTTGTTACCGATTCACCAGATTTATTACATAAACGGTTGGGACATCCCAGTTTGTCAAAACTTTAGAAAATGATACCTGGTTTATCTCACTTGTCCACTCTAGAGTATGAGTCATGTCAGCTCGGTAAGTATACCCACTCCCATTTCCCTCAGCGTCACCTTTTACTTTGGTCCATTCAGATGTTTGGGGTCCTAGTCGGGTCAGTTCTACCTTGGGATTCCGCTACTTTGTCAGTTTCATTGATGATTATTCCAGGTGCACTTGGATATTTTTGATGAAAAATCGGTCTGAGCTATTTTCTATTTTTCAGACCTTCCACGCTGAAATTCAAAATCAATTTGGGGTTTCTATCCGCACATTTCGTAGTGATAATGCCCTAGAGTATTTGTCTTCCCCATTTCAGAAGTTTATGAACTCTCATGGGATTATTCATCAAACATCTTGTCCGTACACATCTCAACAAAATGGGGTAGCTGAAAGAAAGAGTAGACATCTTATTGAAACTACTCGTACTCTACTCATACAATCTCATGCTCCGTTGCATTTTTGGGGTGATGCAGTTCTTACATCTTGCTATCTTATTAATCGTATGTCATCTTCAGCTATCCAGAATCAAGTTCCATTCTCTGTCCTGTTTCCCCACTTACCTTTGTTCTCTCTTCCACCCCGTGTCTTTAGAAGCACGTGTTTTGTTCATAACCTTACTATGGTGGTTTATGTTGATGATATTGTTATTACTGACAATGATCAGGATGGTATTACTAATCTGAAGCAACATCTCTTTTGGCACTTCCAGACTAAGGATCTAGGCAGATTGAAGTATTTTCCAGGTATTGAGGTCGCTCAGTCTAGCTCAGGTATTGTTATTTCACAGCGGAAGTATGCCTTAGACATTCTTGAGAAGACTGGAATGATGGGATGTAGACCTGTTGACACTCCTATGGATCCGAATGCTAAGCTTCTGCAATGGACAGGGGGAGCCTCTTAGAGATCCTATGAGATATCGGAGGTTGGTTGGCAAATTGAATTACCTCACGGTGACTAAACCAGACATTTCTTTTCCGGTGAGTGTTGTAAGTCAGTTTATGGATTCTCCCTGTGATAGTCACTGGGATGCAGTTGTTCGCATTCTTCGATATATAAAGTCAGCTCCAGGCAAAGGGTTACTATTCGAGGATCGAGGCTACGAGCAGATTATAGGGTACACAAATGCTGATTGGGCAGGATCACCTTCTGATAAACGTTCTACGTCTGGATATTGTGTTCTAGTAGGAGGTAATTTGGTCTCTTGGAAGAGCAAGAAACAGAATGTAGTTGCTCGATCTAGCACCGAAGCCGAATATCGGGCCATGGCTATGGCAACGTGTGAGCTAGTGTGGATCAAGCAATTGCTCAAGGAGTTGAAATTCGGAGAAATCAATAAGATGGAACTGGTGTGTGATAATCAAGCTGCTCTTCATATTGCGTCAAATCCGGTATTCCATGAGAGGACTAAACACATTGAGATCGACTGTCACTTTGTCAGAGAAAAGATACTCTCAGGAGATATTGTTACAAAGTTTGTAAAGTCGAATGATTAGCTAGCAAATATTTTCACTAAGTCTCTTACTGGTTCTCGTATTAGTTACATCTGTAACAAGCTCGGTACGTATGATTTATATGCACCGGCTTGAGAGGAAGTGTTAAGTAGTTAGTCATATTTAGTGTCCCACATCGGGAAGTAGATACATATTATTATATAATTACTGTATATAAATAGGGTTGTACAACACTTTAATCAATATAATATTTTTCTCCCGTGCATTCTCACAATATTTAATCTTTATTTTCTCCAAATAGAGCTGTGAAGTAAATTAATTTTCAGAATGAAATTTAATCCACTCATCCACAAGAGAGCTGCAGTTTAGTCCTTACCATTATACAATGTTATTGAGGTAAAAGAACAGAAGACAGCTGAACTGATTTCTGGTTTAAGTTAGAGCCTTCTAAGAACAAATTCTTTTAAATTAAGGTGATGCCTATGATGGAGAGTGGTTAATGAGGCAGGTTAAGCCTAAGAACTAATAGGCTTCTAGACTAGCAAACTTCGGAAAAAACGGTGCATATGACATTTTAGGCGCGTCGCAAAGGGAGAGGAAGGTGAAGTGCTAGGTAATATATGGTACAAGTTCACATGGTAAGCACGTTATCGGGCTAGATGTGGCATTACCCAAGCGACAAAACTGTAAGGTCTGTGGGTGAACCGCAGGGAGGAGACTCAATTCCTACGTGTGGCCTGGTTTGTGATGCCCATGCGTAGGGCGGGCTAATGAGGCAGGTCAAGTAGAATGACTAGCAAGCTTTTGTGCTATCGAGCTTATGAAGAAGGGGTCCATATGACACCCTAGACAAAATGTCTCAAATCCCTATAAGACAGCACAAGTTGACATGGTAGTGCCAACACTTTTAGGTTCGATGTGGCGTAATCCAAGAGACAACTTGTTAAAGTCAGTTTGGCCAAAGTGGAAAATATGTATCCTGAGAAAAATTAGGTGTTCATACTTTTGGAATCACAATAAATAAAAAAAACACACATTACTGTCATCCTAGGAAAGTAGATGTACACTAGCCATTTCTTGTGCAAGGAAATTAAACAGGGACGAAAATTCACAAACCTTGTGACTTGCCCTTGACTCTAGCCATTCTGCAATGGCGAATAAGAAGACAATAGTACCAGCTTCCCAATAATCGTGTAAAACAATTGATCCAGCCACTGCACATGACAAAACCAGCTATAAGAATCAGCATTTCTAGCTTTAACATTATGCCCTTGTAAAATGATTGCACTAAGTTCCATTAAAATTTAATACTACTTCTAATATAATCCATATAATTCGTCTTTTTTAAGGTTTTTGCACATCGCTTTAAAAAGACATTTAATAGCCTCAATTACAAATACTAATAGCCTTTTGTCTATACTATCCTTTGTCTCTCCTTAATCATCAAGTATTTCGAAACAAATTCAATTTGCCAAAACAATAAGCTCCTGTTTGGTCATAAAATTTGAGAGCTTTTTTCAATTATGTGTTCGTTTATAGATTTTAATCATTTTTTGGCACATGTTGAAAAGAAAATATTTAAATCCCAAAAACAGTTCTAGAGTAGTTTTTGAATCACAAAACTTCCCTAACACAATTTTAACTTTCAAAAATTATTTTTCATATAATCTTCAAAAACTCTTTTTTCTTTTCTTCAAGTTTCAACCAAATCTATGTCCAAATGCTAGCTTAATATTTTGGACTGAATGGAGTATTCTTATCTTCATTCATTTTACCCTTTCCAATAACTCATCTTTTTCTTTTCTTATTATTTATTTAATTTTTGGGTTTTTGATTGCTGTCACTCTAAAGATGGTAAAGCAACACCAAATTGAGATTCTTGTCCTGCTAGTCCATTTTACAACTTTCTTAGCCAATTTTATTCAAACAGGTACTGATAGAAATAAAGAGTCACAGTGACCTTTTCTTCTTCAAGGAATCATATCATATCTTGCTACTACTTTTTAAAAGATAAAGCTATAAAGTACCTAAGGATAAGTCACCTTTGTGCTTTTCACCATTTCCATACATATTTAGTTGAACTGCATTATTCAGCTATATTAACTCGACTGTTAACTGCTAATTAGCTCTTTTATTGTTTATATGAAGGCTTAAAATTGAAGTTTATGACCAAAATTTTCCTGCACCAAACGGTGTTCCTAGTGGTAATTGAAGTGGGCGTACGTAGAACTATGAGGTATCATGTTGAAATCCAACCGAGACAAAAATTGATAGGTAGTTTTTCTTAATTAGGTGATTATTCCTATCTATTTAAGCCTTGGTCGGCAACACCCTCGTAAAAAAGGAATAAACTTTCTTTTATTTGCTATTGCTTTTACCTCATTAGAAAAATGGACATTTTACTAAATAGAGAATGTTACTTAAAGAAATTACATTGCTCATTTTCTACTATTTTTTTTTTAGAAAAAAGGATTTTGGGAAACTCTGCTGCCTGGTAATATATAGAAGTTTCTTTTACTTCTATTGCCTATTCAAGTGTTTTTTCCCAATTACTGGAATTATTTAATTGCCAAAACTTATATTTCTAAGAATTCTTTTTTTTTTTTTGAATAAAACCCTAAGAATTCTTGCAAAATCTTTTGCTTTCTCAATTAAATTTTTGTCAAAATGAAAACATCAATAGAACTAGAAGCATCTGTTGTATCTGTAGATACTACTGCCAATAAACATCTCAGTAATCTAGATGTATTTTTCATGATAGTGATGATACAGTAGAAAAATATGGGATCAATGTTATTTATGAGATAAAAAATGGGGTCACTTCATGCTATAATAAAATATACATAATTTCACATGGAGCTTTAAAAGTTATTTTTTTCTCTTTTTAAAATAATAATAATAATAATTGCAGTAACATCTCAGAGTATTTCTAGTAAATGCCTTCCGTAGTAACCGTATATCGTTGAATTAGGAAAATATCAAACTTAGTCTGCTTGTAAGTTCGAGTAATTAAAAAATCATATTTGATATAAATTCTAAATTTTTTTAAAAGAAACTAAGACGGCATCAAATGATAATCAAGGAAATATGATGGATATTTTTTTATGCAAGATGCAAAATTAACTGTGAGATTTTAATCGTTCAAATAATATTTTGATTTATTATCAATGCAATTTAATCAAGTTTATAAATTATTGTTCTATTATTTACGTCAACATATCAAACTTGATATAAAAAATTGCATGATATTTTAGATTAACTAAATATGATAATTTAAAAATTATTTACGTTACTAATAAACTAAATTTTAAACCTTGCCGTGACTGATATTACTACTGATTAATACTATGACAAGAAAATCTGGTACGAGTCAACGTCACCTTCTATAAAAGGGGCAAGAAAGACTTGCAGGAAAGTCATTTTCTTTGCAATTATTTGAGGAAAAAAAAGAGAGTAAACGTTACACATTTACACATTACTGATGTGGGCTCCGTTGTTTGTGCTTTACACCTGGGAAACCATTTCTGATATATTACGAGTTACATAAGCAATTTTGTACTTTCCTTACTAGACAAAATCGAAATTCTTTTTTCCTATCACATCTAATTTTACTTGACACTAAATGTAAGAAAAAAATAATTTTTTAAAAATATGTGGTATTAAATATTTCAGTCAAATTTTTTTTTTTGAAATTTATGGTCTAAAAAGCTTAAAGGACAAAATTTTGTGGTCATAATGTTTTCGTGACTATAAAAACTTTTCATTATTTAATCTTTTAAAAGACTTGATTAGAGCGAAATTAATACGGAAGTCGGAATATACTCCACTGATTTGAAATTAAGGCATCTTAACTGATATTCCAAGGTTTTTATTATATTGTCCTTTATTTTTCTACGCCATGTAAATCAACAAACACTAAAGATAGTTTCTTTTTGTTTTTTATTTGGTATCTGATCCTCGTTTTGGGATCTAATTAATTTATATCAAGGCGCCTGGATGACAATAGAGGAGTACCTACTGCTCCATCGCAACCTTTTGGTAGTGTTTAGTCTCTTAACTAAAGGTACAACACTACAAGTCTATAACTATTTGTTAAATATATGCTAGCCTTTGTGTTGAGCTGATTAATTTGTATCAATAATATATGTCATACTATCTTTCTGACTATTTCCTAGACACCTTTTTTTTTTCTCTTTTCATATTTGATATCATTAAATAAAAGATAATCTGTGATAGAATCACTAATTCCATCTTGAAATCTAAATCATCCTATTCCAATATGGAAAAAGAAGTTTATTTGTGTAGTTCTAGGTCACCTGAAAATATTATAACATAAAGTATATCAAGCATCCAATAATTGTTTTTCATGCTTTCGTTATTTAAAGTCACTAGGGTGGTCCAATATTAGCATCTAACACCCAAGAATCATCCCTCCCACTCCAATCTTGTGGGTTAGTTAAAGGTGCATTCTTAAATACAATATTTAATTGCATGCCCTATGGTGCATGCTTTTTAATGAAATAATGAATCACAAAGCATTATCAAGAATAAGGATTCAAGCATCACATTAGAAGCATCCAATTAGCTAAGAAATTAAAGCAATAGCCAAATTTCAATCACAAAGCTAAAGTAGGAGCACATATTAATTCTATAACCAAATCAACTTCAAATACTCTTATGGTAAATTACTCTCTCTGTCTCAATTTATATAGCACAGTTTTCTTTTCTATCTTTTCCCAAAAATCTATCACCTTTTCATAATTAAAAGTAATTTAACTTTAAAATTATTATTTTAGCCTTAGTGAGATGATTTATAACACAAATCTCTAAGATTTATTTCTTGCCACAAATTTTAGAAGTCTTCCTTTCTTTCTTGAATTTTTTAACTTTAAAATTATTATTTTAACCTTGTATTTAGATGCCTAAGATTTATTTCAAACCATAAATTTTTAAAGTATTCATATTTTTCTTAGATTTTTTTGTTTAATTAAATACCGTCATATAAATTGGGACAAAAGGGAGTATCTCTTTTTGCTTTTCAAAAAGTTAAAAAGAAAGAAAAGGAAAAGCAAAGTACCTGCTATTAAAACAAGAATGTTGATGTCAAGAGTGAGGTTTCGCACGGCAGCCACACCTCTAAAAATAATTGGAGGAATCCCAACTGCAACAGCTGCAAGTGCTAACCATTGGAAAGGTGCAAAAAAGTACTTCAAAAATGAGAGTCCAAGCAATATTCCACTGCCAATTGCAAATGGACTTGGCCATTTCTTTTGGTAGTTTTTCTCTCCTTTCACTCTTATGCTTGCTTCTAATCTTGCTTGATTCAATGCTTTAACTACATCCACAAAAGATAGATGGTAACTTCAATAATTATAAGGATAATATAAGTGCTAATATATTTTTTTTAGTTGAAGTGTTTGTACAAGCTTTTAGAAGGAAAAAAAGTGTTTTTGAGGAGAAGCAGAAACAATTTTGGAGAAGCAGAAAAAAGTAGTTTCTCTCTAAAAAATACTTTTTTAAAAAGCTCTTTTGACAAAAATACAATTAAAAGCAGTTTTTAAAAGCTTGGACAAACACTAATTGTTGCTCAGAAGTATTTTTCAAATTACTTAGCCAAACACAAACTGCTTCTCACCAAAAATACTTTTGAAAAAAAAAAAACTAATTTTTGCAGGTTAGTCAAACATGCTGTAAAGAATTTACATTATATACACACAACCAATGTAAAACATACATATATTATCGGTTGCAATTTAAAAGATTATAACAAGTTTCATGTTACTGTACCAATTAAATTTGCAGATAAGAGTTACCTTTTGTTAGCTAGGTCCAATTTATGTACCACTACTGTTAGGTGTGCAAGAAATGCAATAAGACTGAAGTAGAAAAGAGACTCTACTAAATATATTTAGGAAAGATCGCAAGAATGAAGAAAAGAAAAGGTTAAGTTTGTTGAATTATTCTTTCTGGCTAATTTTTCACACTTGAAAACTGACCATAAGTAACAGACGTTAAAAAAATGGGAAAATAAAGTACAGTAATTCATCAAGAAAGGAAAAAAAAAAAACAAGGAAACTACAATTACTTTGTTAGTTCCTAGCAACTACTCTTCAACACAGTAGATGCAAAGCGACATGAGTCAAAATATTTTCTCTAACGGTTCAACAGAGATCGCCTCCATCACTAAATTATCAACAACTAGAAACTTGGATTTCTTGCCACAATTATGTAATTTGTGGGGCCAAATCATATATAACTATTCTTATAGTACTCCTCCGTTTCAAGATGAGTTAGTTTTACTTGGCATATAGTTTAAGAAAAAAGAAGAAACTTTTAAAATTTGTGGTCTTAAAAGTTTAAGGGGTAAAAAATTTATGGGGTCATGACATTTGTGTGGCTATAAAAACATTCATTAAGGTAAATGGGTAAAATGAAAGATTTTAAAATTGAATTATTTCCAAATTTAGAAATGTGTTATTTGTTTTGGAATAGACTAAAAAGGAAAGTAATCATCTAATATGAAACGGAGGGAGTAGTAATTACAGGTTTCAAATAGACCATCGAATCTCAGAATTTATTCCAAAACCTAATTGTTAGAGAAAAAACATTTATAAACTATACTCCTCACCTACTCTATCCCACTGAGGGCTGGGGCGGATACGATGGGCAAGTCGGAGGCGGAGCTAGAATTTTTAAGATATGGGTACAATATTAAAGAAAAGAGAAAAAAAGTGGAATTGATCCATATTCCTTTGAGTAATAACTCAATATTCAAACAAATGCACAATTCATCTTTTGTGGAGCATGTGTGCCAACAGAAAATATTAGATGAATTTTAGAAAATACATACTTAAAATACTTAGTTAGGCGGAGACTATGGGTCCATGTGCTGCATAAACTCGACCACATGAATTTTTATGAGAGTCGTTTTAAAAGAGAATTTTTATGCATGTTCTTGACTAGAAATTTCAAAAGAAAAATAGTTCATGTTTTTTCCGTCTTGGTTACTCAATCTAATAAAACTAAAAATAACCACTTTAAAGATTTTCCCAAATTAATATATACACTTAATTCTAGCAAATGCCAACAAACAGAAAGAACAGTGCTTGAAACAACTACCACCAAATATCACTTGAACAAATCAAAACCGTTTCTGATTCCATTTGTCTCCCCCTTCTTGTCTCTTCTCTTCTCTTTCCTTTTTTTTTTTGGCGATTTCTTAAGAGAAAAATCACTTTACTTAATATATATAAACTTACAAAAAAGAAAGGAAATGTCAGTTAATTAAGAAAAGATGAAGAATGGTACTCCTATCGCTTTATTTCATTTTATGTGAATTTATTTAACAAGCCACAAAACTTAAGAAAGACTTATAATAATATTTTTATGACTATAAAACAATACTATTTAAGAAAAAAAATATGAAGTTTAAAGTGAAATTACATCAATATATAAAAAGGTAACGTTCTTTTCAGAACATATTAAAAAGAAAATAGTATCACGTAAAAAATAGAACTGAGAGAGTAATAAAGGTGTGTAACTATCTTTCTTACCAATTTGTTGCGGAGAAATGAGAAGAGAATCATGAATAACAATGACAGTCTTTGTTGTGACAATTACTGAAACCTCTTTAACCCCTTCAAGATTCTTGAGAATTTTTTCAACTAGAACAACTTCTGAAGTACAGCAAATTCCCAAAACATCAAAATAGCTCTTGCTCAACTTCTTTGTTTCATTCATTTTTTCACTTTCCACCATTTTTCTCCTTCTCTAAGGAGGAGGAGAAGATAATAGATGAAAAAGGAATTTCTAGTTCTGGAATATATTGGATATACTTTTGTTTTAGAAAGAGGTGATGAGTTTCTCTTATAAGAACATGCAGAGAGAATGAGTAGGTTTCAAAGTTTTGAGGGGTTTAAATAAGAATAGCACCCCCGCCCCCCCACCTACCCCCTCCCCCCAAAGGGAGAAGAAACGTTACCTTTTCTTCCTTTTCGTTTTCTCCAATTATTTTGCGCTTTGTCTTTTTTTCTTCCTTTTTCACATTATCATTAATTAATTTAAGATATATACTTATCGTATATAAACTTACCATGTAAACTTTTTTTGAGTTTAAGTTATATACCTTGTCAGTGTAATAATTTTTACACAATCATGCATGTTATCTTTGTCCGTTGTAACAGATAACATGTCTTATTTTCAGGATTAAGAATTCTACATTTTAAGAAGAGTAACTTGATAATATAAAAAGTGTATAACTTATAGTCATTTTTCACATTATTTATACTTTTTTATTCGTTGTGATAGACTATTTATCTTATTTTTAATTTACTAATCCTGTTACGGAATAAATCGTTATTAGATCTTTGGTTTTGTTTGTTGCATTTTTTACTATCCAAAAGCTCTTAGGGGTGGTGCCAAGATGGTGGTACAAACAGTTCGGAATCACTAAGAGGGAAAACAGCATTTTGGATTACACACATGTAAAGCACCTAAAAAGAGAACTAGTTTAGATACTTTAAAGTAATTTATTGGTTACTTACCAAACTTAATCTCTTAGGAATATTACTAATTATTCGGTTCTCGTAAGTAAAATGAAAAAAGAAAAGCAAGGGTTTGATAGGAAAATAATTGATACCAATTTAATAAGGTCCTAATTAACACTAGCAATATATATTCTTAAATTTATATGGTTGTTTATAATATAAGTAATATTTCTTGAAACAAGTAGATAAAATTCCAAGTGGGGGTATTGTCATTGTTTTGGGTAGGAAATGCACAAAACAGGGAATAAATATGTACGAAGCAGTATTCATCAAATCCAACTTTAAGCTCACTTCAAGGAATATTCTTAGAGATTTTCTTGGCAAACTTTATTATGTAGGAAAATGTGGCACAAGCTCTAAAGAATTCAATAGATTTATAATTCACTTCCTTTATTCCAAGGTCTAACTATTGAAAATCGTATTTGGATAATGATTTATATGCGTAAAAGTGTTTCACTTAATTTTTTTTTTAAAAAACCATACCGTTCTTTAAGATGAAAAACAAATCGTACTTCTTTTAAACCTTTTTCTAACCTAAGTTATCGAATTTAGCAGTGAGAGAAAGGAAAAGATTGGTTTGTGAGTGGCAACGTGAATTGGCAAAGGTTTCACGTTTATATTCCTTATTATGAGTATTGTTGTTGGAAGGATATTTGATAACTGATACGCATATTACCTAACTTGTAACGTGAAAAATGTTCTACCAGAAAATTCTTTATTTTACTTTTTTAACCTCATGATATTTTTGGATAAGGAGAACAAAGTATTAAATGCTAATATGGATTCCTTTTCTTTTCATATTTTCACCTCAAGACCTTTCATGAAAGTGCAAATCACTCTAACTATTCAGCTTTATACATTATTTTTCTTTATTTAAAGGCATAATATATATACGGCTACTTAAACTTGTCCCATATTATCACTTATCTAGCCCTTATATCCGTATTTCGAGATCTCTATTAGCTCCATTTAGTATTTTCGATTTGCGTGCACAATTCGTGTCTTTTTCCGGAAAGATTTTATGTGAAAATTTGAAGAAAACATAATTTTTGGTTTTAAAAATAACTTGAGTTGACTACGTTCAATATTTTGTGTAAACGACCCCAGATCGATATCTTGACGATCCCTGTGGGTTCGTATTGTAATTTTGAACTTGAGCATATGTCTGGAATTGAATTTGGAAGTCCCTAACTTGATTTGTCGAAAGCTAGTAACTTAAAAGTTTAAATATTTTCTAGATTTGACCGTAGGTTGACTTTATGGCTGCCCGATTCGGATTTCGGTTCTAGAATATGGTAAAGGTTATTTTTGTTATTTGAAACTTGTCTGCAAAATTGGTGCAAATAGAAGTTCATTTAATAGGATTTAGACGCTCGGTTGTGAATTTGGAAGTTCTTGAGTTTCTTTGAAAATTTCACATATTTTGATGTTCGATTCATAGTTCTAGGTCTTACTTTGGCGTTTTGATCACGCGAGCAAGTTCGTATGATGTTATTACACTTGTGTGCATGTTTGGTTTGGAGCCCAAGGGACTCAGGTCAGATCCGGATAGGCTATGGACCATTTTGAACTTAAAATATTTCTGGTTTTTTACTATTGTTGATGGCGTATTGTGCTTCGCGATCGCGAGAGTATCGCGAGAAGCTACTCTCGCGATTGCAAAGGGGAAACTGGGGTTAGGGTGGAGTTCTTCTTCGCGAATGCGAAGTAGTGAAAGACTTACCCTTCGTGAACGCGACCGTCCTCACGCGAACGCGAAGGTTTAGGGGATTCTGGGGGAGGCAGGTGGTTACTCTACGTGAACGCGGGTGCTGGGTCGCGAATGCGAAGGCATGTGGGAGCAAGCCTATGCGAACGTGGAGGGGCTTGCAAACGCGATGGCCTTCTTGGTTGTTATGCATTGCGATCGCGTTAGGTGCTTCGCGAACGCGAAGAGCACCTAACGTCCAGTGATTTAAACACTCTAAATCGGGATTCTTTTAACTTTTACTATTTTAAATTTGAGCTCGTCCTAGAGGAGATTTTGAAGAGATTTTTCATCCCAACTTCATAGGTTAGTAAATTTTAACTTATTTTATTATATTTTCATAAACATCCATTGATTTTAACCTTTAATCTATACTTTTTTACTGTAGAAATTAGGGATTTAGGTAGAAATTGGAGATTTTGAGAAATTGAGATTTAGACCTCAAATTGAGGTGAGATTTCAAAACTAATCACATAACCAGGCTCAGGTGAATGGGCAATTGGGTTTTGGTCCGAGTCTCGGGTTTTGACCAAGCGAGACCGGGGTTGGCTTTTGTTTACTTTTCTAAAATCAGTAAAGATTGAATCTTTTTCTCTCGTGGGTAGTTTCTAAAGCCTATTTGAATTATTTGAACAATATTTGGTTAGATTTGATTGGTTTGAAGGCTAATTTTAGAGGAAAATCCGCAGTTAAGCATTGATTTGGTTACGGAATGGGGTAAGTGTCGTGGTTAACCTTGACTTGAAGGATTAGGACTTGTTGGTTTATTTGCTACGTGAATTATGTGTGGGAATAACGTATATATGAGGTAACTAGTACATATGCGTTGTTATCGGGTTAAAGCATGCGGGATGGGAATTGTTTCTTTGTTCTAAGTTGTTTATTTGACTTTGTTCTCCATGCTTAGGTTAGATTACTACTTTTTAATTATTTGTCTCATATTTATTGTTTATTTTGAAGATATTCGGAATTTTTGAAAGCCGAGTTTGATATCATGGCACTATAAATGAATTGAAATTGTTTCCCGCCTTGCAATTGGATAATTGGATTTTGGTCCAAATCTCTGGTTTTGACCAAGCGGGATTGGAGTTGACTTTTGTTGACTTTTTCTGAAATCATTAAAGATTGAATCTTTTTCACGCGTGGGTAGTTTCTATAGCCTATTTTGAATTATTTGAACTATATTTGGTTAAATTTGATTGGTTTGGAGGCTAATTCTAGAGGAAAAGCCGTAGTTGAGCATTGATTTGGTTGCGGAGTGGGGTAAGTATCGTGCTTAACCTTGATTGAGGGATTAGGACTTGTTGGTTTATTTTTTACATGAATTATGTGTGAGAATAACGTATATATAAGGTGACGAGTACATATGCGTTGTTATTGGGTTAAAGCAGATAGGAATTGTTTCTTTGCTCTAAGTTGTTTATTCGATTTTGTTCTCCATGCTTAGGTTAGGTTATTACTTGTAATTATTCGTCTCATATTTATTGTTTATTTTGAAGATGTTGGAAATTTTTGAAAGATGAATTTGATATCATGGCACTATAAATTAATTGAAATGTCCCGCCTTGTATTGTTGATTGGTGAGGTAGAGTGAAAAGCATAATGGGTATTGCAGTGCCTTATTTATATTCATTATCATATATCAAGAGATGTTGAGAGTAAAGCACGAAAGGTGATGTCGTGTCGTTTTTTATGATATCACATTACGAGAGTAAAAGCACAAAGGGTGATGTCGTTCCATCTTTATGTCATTACTTTACTCGATTTTTAGATTTGTGATTTATTTGGTTATATTGTTGCTTATTTGGGAAGGTGTGATTCTGTAATTTCGTACTTGCCATTTTTACGATATTTTTCCCTTTCGCATGTCCACGTCCAAATTAATATTTTACCGTTTCTACTTGTTATTTTTCTGCTTTATATATACATGTTTGTACTGGTTTTTTTTCCCATAGGTGTCTTGTCATAGCCTCATCTCTTCCTCATCAAGGTTAGGCTTGACACTTACGGAGTATATTGGGTCAATTATACTCATGATACACTTCTGCACTTCTTGTGCAGATACTAGTATTGGTCCCAGCGGTGCTTAGAGGTGCGTCTTCTTAGATCATATTGCTTCGGAGACTTGAGGTAGAGCTGATGGCGTTCACAGACCTTGAAGTCTCCTACCATTTCCAATCTTTACTGTTTATCTTATCGAAGTATTGTATTTACGTCAAACTATACTTGTAGACTTCTAGTTGCTCATGTACTTGTGACACCAGACTTCTGGGGTTGAGTTAGACCACGTTATGTTATGGGTTTATTTCATGTATTTCAGCTTTAATCATCATTAATCACTATTATTATTCTGTTTTGAATTGTTTAATTATTAAATTGTTGAACTAATGTTGGATTGCCTAACAAGTGGACGTTAGGCACCATCACGACCTCGAGGTTGAAAATTTCAGGTCGTGACAAGTTGGTAACATAACACTAGGTTGCTTAGGTCTCACAAGTCATCAGCAAGCTTAGTAGAGTCTGGAAGATCGGTATAGAGACATCTATACTTATATTCTAGAGGTTATGGAGTTTTAGG